CTGAGTTGTCATGTTCAAATACCTCTGTCAACGACGAAGTCTACCAAAACTATCACGTTAATGATCACCTCTGATAGTCTGTTTTCCTCCAAATTTCCCCACCAATCCTTTTCAAGCAGGATGGCGGGTCTATCAAAACTATCACGTTAATGATCACCTCTGATAGTCTATCAACTTGTCAATCTTCTTCAATAGGATGTCATGTCTAAAAAACTATCACGTTAACAGTTACCTCTGATAGTCAAACTCATCAGATAATAGCCTACCTGGTGATGTGACTCTATTCCGACTTCATGGATAGTGCCTCACTAGGTGATGTGCCTTGTCTACCTCTTTTTATTCCCCTTCTAAGTCTTAATCAAGACTGGGGGTTGATTACTTGGAATCCACTGGATTAAGAGTAACGAATCTTTCACATCGTTGAGTTAACATTACACTTCTGACAATCATCATCCCCATAGAGTATGCATTTAGTTTGCATCACTCCTAATTTGTCACGTTAACAATACACCTCTGACAACCCACTTATCAATCCTCTTCAGTAGGATGATAAGTCCACAAAGTTGCTCCGATCGCAACACATTCCTGTCACGTTAACATCACACCTCTGACAACCCACTTATCAATCCTCTTCAGTAGGATGATAAGTCCACAAAATTGCTCCGATCGTAACACATTCCTATCACGTTAACATCATACCTCTGACAACCCACTTATCGATCCTCTTCAATAGGATGATAAGTCCACAAAGTTACTCCGATCACAACACATTCCTGTCACGTTAACATCACACATCTGACAAAATCCACTTATCGACTCTCCCCAAGAGAGCGATAAGTCCACAAAATTGCCCCGATCGTAATATCTTTCCCGTCAAGTTAACATCACACCTCTGACGATACAATCCACTTATCGACTCTCCCCAAGAGAGCGATAAGTCCACAAAATTACCCCGATCGTAATATCTTTCCCGTCAAGTTAACATCACACCTCTGACGATACAATCCACTTATCGACTTTCCTCAATAGAGCGATAGGTCCACAAACCAGTCAAGTTAACATCACACCTCTGACGACCAAACCAACTTATCGACTCTCTTCAATAGAGTGATAGGTCCATAAAATACTATTAGGTTAACATCACACCTCTAACAGCCAAACCCCCAACGAACTTGTTAATCCCTTTTCAACAAGAATAGTAAGTTTTCATTATAAAATCCCTAGTGGATTAAAGATTTTCTGGAATTATCCTAGTGATAACCAAGAAAATTTATGAATTTTACTCTAAGTAAAAATTCATGCCAAGTTAATACTACACCTCTGGTGCTTTCAACTTTCTTTCAGTGTTTCAAGTCACACAGGAAGGAACAGCACCATAAATCCACGCCTTCACGCTTGAGGGACTTTATCTCGATCCCTAATTAGAGATAAGTCTACGCCTAATACGTGTTGCCGGTTAATCTTTCGCTGTGAAAAAGACACCAGGATTCATGCCTGGGGGAATTTATCTCGACCCCTAAACAGATATAAGCCTGCATCTAACACATGCTGCCGGGTGGTTCGTTCCCGCGAAAATGATCAAGTCTACGTATTCAACATCGTAGCACCAAAATCCATGTCTTTCACGCATGGGGGACTTTATCTCAATCCCTAAATAGAGATAAGTCTACGCCTAACACGCGTTACCGGTTAGTCTTTGTCGTAAAAAGGACAAAAGCCCACGTATTCAACATCATGGTAGGCCGTTATTAATAACGCCAAAATCCATGCCTCATATGCATGGGGGACTTTATCTCGATCTCTAACTAGAGATAAGTCTACGCCTAACACGCGTTGCCGATTAGTCTTTTCCCGTGAAAATGACAAAGTCTATGTATTCAAAATCATAACATTAAGTCTAAGAGAGTTCATTCTCTTAGCACAACGTTACATGTGAAACGGATTCAAATAATTCACATGCTAGCCCGACTCAAATGGTAGTCGGTAAAGACTTATCAAATCCGTTGATGGCTGAGGATTTGCTAAAAATCCTATGACTATTTTCGGGCCCATTAGCTTAATGGATGTGAGCCGTGATATGACGTTTGAGAGCTTCTGCTCATGAGTGGCTTGTACCGTCACTAAGGTTTCTCTTCGAAGCTCATCCTCACTCAGGTCCTGCGTGTCAAATCTCTTCAACCAAGATGCCTTTGAAGCGGGTGCAGAGAACAAATCCTTTGTGACAATGAATCAACAGCTCCAAGATTAGATCAGAGTTAAGATCCAAAGTATTTTGAAAATTCGTCCCAGTCAACCACGAACTTTCGAAAACTTTGGAGGGGGTTCTGTAGGCTGTCTAAAAATCACAACAGATAGCCAATCCCCATCAAACACCAATGATGGAAGTTACAATCGGACGACTTCCAGAAGGTTACAATTTGAAGACTTTCACGTAGATCGAGGAAGGTTACAATCTGACAACCTTCGCAACAACTGATGAAAGTTCTAATCAACAGCCTTCACAATCAACATCGGGAGTTATAATCTGACGACTCTCATATTTTCAAGGAGCCAAGACGAAGGTTACAAGGTGGCGATCTTTGCAACGCTCTAGCAAAAGAGACTACAAATTGACGGTCTCTTCATATTAAAACACAGATATCTCTCAAACTGTAAGGAATTTGGTAAAACTGACGGAGCAAACCGAACCCTATGGGGTAGGTTTGGTCGGCTCCGTCTCGTCAAGATAACCGATTTTCATATATAATTCGTCCAATTCCGACTTACGGTTTGAAAGTTATGACCTGTTCTTCGCAGCAAGTTATGTTCTGAAGTCCGTCTGCAAGATTGGACTTCGTCTGAACATTGGACTTAGCCTGAAGTTCGCCGAGCCCACCTAAGGCTCACCTCTGCATCCAAGATTCAAAACGCAGAGGTCATGCCCGCGTTCTAAACTCAAAACGCAGAGGTCATGACCGCATTTGAGATTCAAAACGCAGAGGTCGTGGCTGCGTTCCAGATTCAAAACGCAGAGGTCGTGGCTGTGTTCCAGATTCAAAACGCAGAGGTCGTGGCTGCGTTCCAAACTCGAAACGCAGAGGCCGTGGCTACATTCCAGAGTCAAAACGCAGAGTTCGTGGACTCAAAGCGCAGAGTCCGGCTGCGTTCCAAACTCGAAACGCAGAGGCCGTGGCTACATTCCAGAGTCAAAACGCAGAGTTCGTGGACTCAAAGCGCAGAGTCCATGCAGAACCCAACTCTGCGTCTTAGGTTCAAAACGCAGAGTTCATCTCTGTGTTCCAACTCTGCGTCTCAGGTCCAAAACACAGAGTTCATCTCTGTGTTCCAACTCTGCGTCTCAGGTCCAAAACGCAGAGTTCATCTCTGCGTCCCAACTATGCGTTTCAGAATTACAACGCATCGCGGCCTGTGCGTTTAGCCACCCAACATAGGCCCAACTCTGCGTTTTTAGTCTAAAACGCAGAGTTCGGGCCAAGAACGCCATTTTCGGCGTTTGATTCGTTCAAACACGAACCGAACAGTTCCAGGAACCGTTTTCCCCCCATGATTTGAGGGATTTCCGTCCCACTTAGGAGCAGATTAAGGGGGTAGTTACCACCCTTAATCCCCTATAAATACCAGAAACTCAATTGAGTTAAGGGATCGGTTTTCAGCATCAAAACTGCACAGAGCTAGATATTTGGATCAAAACCACTTGAAGTTGGGCTGAGAGGGCGAGTTTTCTGAAGATCAAGGAACTGATCAGCAGTCAGTTAATCAAATCTCGGAGAATCTCTTCACCAACAGCGGGTCTACTCGGCTATTAACCGAATTTTCGGTTCTAACAACTCTGTTACAGAGTTTCAACTCGTTCTGAGTTCTTAAACTCGTTAAGAGTTCTTAATTAGACTTGCAACGCAAGCTAATTACACTAATCGATCATTCGGTTTTCAACAACTATTTTCAGAGTTTTTAACTCGTTCTGAGTTTATTAAACTTGTTAAGAGTTCTAAACCGGATTCATCATACAAGTCAATCATTCTCGTGAGATAGTACGATCGGATCGTCAACGGAGAGCAAGTTCGACGCAAGCAATCGAAGGAGGCACTCCATCGCTACCAAGAAGAACCCTGACTTAAACGAAGGGGAGAATCCAGATCAATTCTCTTCTCTTTTGTAATCAGAGTCCAAATTGTAATCGATTTTGAGAGAATACAAATCAATTTTTCTTTTATTATTTCTTTTACTGCAAATTTTCCACAAACAACCACGTAAAATTGGTTGTCTCGCTATTTGTGTGATTTGTAATAGCTTATTTAGGTTCCCTCGACAGGTCAGTCCTAGAACTGATGAGAGGAAGAGCTGATATCTCACTTGGTTGAGATATTTTGCTTAAGATTCTTGTTTCCTTTGTGAAACAGGAATTCCTATTGCGACCTGATTTTCTTGTTGTGTTGCCGAAGTACTGCCGAAATTTCCACTACGCGCAACACGAGTCTCTGTACCTCTCCAAGAGTAATAAAACTAAGAGAACTAGGAGGAAGAAGAAACCATCAAGAACTCATTATAAAATCATAAATCAATAAACAAAACGAGTAAGAAAAGTCTCTCTCTCCCTCTCTTTCTCTCCCACACCCCCCCCAAGATCTCAAAAGCCCTTAATTCCGCGCTCTTTTGTATCAATTGTCAGGAGGATTTGATTAAGGGATCTTGTGTCTAACTGATGGTGAATCTCCCTTACTTTGATTCTTCTTTGTAAGGGAGAGAAGGCCTCATGAATCAACACAGAGTGAAGATTTAATCACGTTGATCAATTGACAATTGAATCGCCTACCTTTTAAGCAGCAAACTCCTATGGAAATCTATGACATACAGTTTAAATAGTCTACTGCATCATGCTCAAGGATACACATTTTTGCCCGTAAACGTGAAACCTGGCTCTGGTATGGAGAGGACCTGGTTCGGGTATGTAGAGGGATTAAGGTGGTTCGGAAAGCTCAAGATCAAGTTTTACCACCAAAGGAAAAGCAACATGTATGTATCTTTTGATGAACAAGTAGTTCTTCTGTATAAGAAAGAACATCGTTTTCCTTACAAAGCTATCATCGGCCTCCTGACATAGCAGGAAGCGTGGAAGCTGATGAGGTGAGTGACATAATATAATTATCGAACCCTACCTTCTGGTACAATGACATAGAGCTAAAGCTCATACAACGTGGCAACAACTCGGGGAGTTCTACGGCTCCATCTAAAATTTGCACCACTTGCCGCATGTTTGGCCTAACTTCTGGCATTGGATGTGAGCATAGCAAAGCAAGCTTTAATACTAACTCAACTTCATCGACACAATACTCTGTCAATCTTTGATCCACTGTCTCCATAAGCAAACCCCGTTTCCAATTCTCCAGAACCCAATCAACAAGAATCAGGTCTTCAGCTTCTGCTTGGAACTCAATTGGCCTCCTACCGCAAACTACTTCAAATAAGAAGACACCAAATGCAAATACATCAGTCATAGTCGAACCCTTTCCAGTCATAGGGAGCTCAGGTGCCAGATAACCCATGGTTCCAACAATACGAGTAGTTTGAGGATCAGAGCCTCGATCATATAATTTTGCAAGGCCAAAATCTCCCAGCTTTCCGGTAAAATCTCCATCTAACAACACATTACTGGCCTTGATGTCTCTATGTAGCACAACCTGCTCCCAATCTTCATGGAGATATAAGAGACCTGAAGCAACCCCTTTGATGATTCGGAACCTTTGAGCCCAATTGACAGTAGGGTTCTTTTTACCGTATAAGAATTTATCAAGGCTACCATTGGCCATGAAATCATAGACCAAGAGGAATTCTCCTTTACGACGGCAGTAGCCTAAGAGCTGAACAAGGTTTCGGTGGCGGAGCTGACCAATGCTAACAATTTCAGCCACAAATTCTCTCATGCCTTGTCTTGAATCATGAGAGATTTTCTTAACTGCGATCTCCATCTTGGAATTAGGCAACTCACCTTTGTAGACTCTACCGAAGCCTCCAGTCCCCAGTAAATTTTCTTCCTTGAACCCTTTTGTTGCTTGAAACAGGTCCTTGTATGAAAACCTATGAGGACCATAGTCGAGCTCCCAATCCTCAAGCACCTCAGCATATTTGTTCCTGCGCCTTACTATAAGGAACGTAACAGCGGCGACAAATAACACAAATAAACATGAAACTATGGCCAGCGATGTGACCATAACTACAGACTTCCTTGTGGTTTTAAGAACAGGTAGTGAAGGAAGTTTTGAATAATCAAGAGGCCTTGCTACCCCGTTCGTCTTGAAGCTCCAACCAAGAATGTAATGCTGAGTATGAAAAGGGCCATCCGATGAAGAGAAACCTACATGCATGGAATCAAGCATCACGCTTGAAAGATCAATGGTCGAGGACAAGAGGGGCCTGCGTGGTTTAGGAATTCCCATCGGCGATAAAGTAACATTGATCTGCATCGCTTCACCATCAAAATCCACCCATGCCTGCATTGGGTTGCCACTAATTAGGGTCAAATTCTGTAATGAATCGGTACTATCATTATAATACCCAGCAGGACTCGACTTGTTGGAGATCAAGCCGTTGATGTCAATTCCAACATGATTGTCATTGATATCTTGAAATTCAGGGTTCTGAATCGTGTCAAATTCTACGGCAACGATGTGGTTGCTTGAGTTTCCATTGTTACTTTCGGTGAAGAGGCCCAGGTACTGGCTTGGAGAAGGGAGAGAGAGATTAGCAGTATGAGAAACAAAGAAGGCGATGCCCTGGCCGCTCAGATCGGAGACTTCAGAGAGGATGGCAAACACAAAAGTAGTGGAGAAGGAAAGGGGTCTACCAGTCGCAGACTTGAAGCGGAGGGGACGAGGATAGAAGGCATGGCCCCTCATATTCTGGGTTTTGTTGGTCAGCTCAAGGAGGCCGTCAGGTGTGACTGAGGCGATGCCATCAATGCTCAGGTCGGTATTACTGAATCCATTGAAGGTGAAGTCATGTTCCCTTGAGGCTGCAAGTCTTGGGAAAACAAAGAAGAAGAAGAAGAAGAATGTCTTCATCAACACGGATGATATTTTCATCCGTGCAAATGGGGAGAAACCTAGAAAGGTTTTTAAGTAGCGCTTAAAGTCTTTGTTATGTGGCATGTTTCGCACTAATCTGTTGCTACCAGCTGATTCAGCCGTCCGGCCACGCGGTGATGATATAAAGTTAAACAGCCTTGAGCTAACCCCACCATCCAAAGAGAAGAAGACATCTGATACGAGCTGGATCTGGTCCAGCAATTTACTAAGCAATTAGATACAAACAATTGGTCAGCTGCTTAACTCTTTGGAGAATATATGGTCATCGTCACTAATCTTTCTTCCAAATAGTATTTAACTAGAGAACAGGTAAATGCATCGGCTGGTGGTACATAGTGCTTTCAGATAAAAGAAAGGTCTTCTAGATAACTTGGAGGGAAGGTGGAGAGGATGCAGCAAAACCAGCATTAATTGCCAGGTCTAGGAACGGTCAAGATGTACACAGCTCTGAAGAGGCACGAGTTATTTCTATGACCCAAAGGCATAGAATACGTTCTTCTAAAATTTCCCAGGCTGAAAGCGTCTGTGCTACGGAACGGTGCCAGTGTAAAAATGGCCTAACACGCCTCTCAACCCCATAAAATTTACCACGCCATCGCAGAATATTAACCTTTTACTGGCTGTTTACCGTATGCTTATGGCGTCATTAGAAGGTCATGATGATCCATTAATCCATTATGAAAGCGTGTAGTAAAAAAATGATTGATTGATGCTCAAGAAAGAAATCGTTGAGCGGTGGGCCATCCTATCTTGACTAGAACATAGGAAGTCGACATCAAAATATAAGCCTAGCCACCCCCTAATTAAACCCTTCTCCGAAGGAAATACAGCTCAGCTTGAGATATCTACATCAGAAGCTAACAAAATGAAATCCAGGGCTAGTGACTAGAGTCAAATGGTTTGAATAAATGTGAAACCTCACACAGTTCCCCTGCCTGTAAGTAAAGTAATAGTCATCATCCACATGAGTCCAAATCGATACTTAATGACTCGTGTTATTTATAGTGGGCAGAAGAAAGTTCCTCCAATACTGGTGAGGTCCTCGTTGCCCTGAAAGAGAAGCAGGTCCCTTTCTCATAGAGGTGGGAAACGGGTCAACCCGTCTCAACCCATATAAAGTTTAAGGAAAAATGTGTACATGCCCCCAAAAACAGAAACTTCATGTGACGAGGCCCTTCATAGTTTTCCCCATGTAAATCAGCCTCTTGATGTGTGACACTTTGTACTGCAGCCTTTTTTTATCAACTATTACATGCCAGCTAAGCTAAAATCCCCAAATTATCATTATCCTCCCGCCTCAATCTCTCAAACCCAGCAATCATATCATCTTTATCTCTCATCTCCTCTCTCTCTCTCTCTCTCTCTCTCTCTCTCTCTCTCTCCTCTCTCTAAAATTAAGAGCTTTCTCAAGCTCGTCAACCTGGCCCTCGCCCTCCTCGCCGTTGCCGCCTCCGCTCAGGCCCCCAAGGCTCCCCTCGAGTTCGCCGTCGTCTCCCCTCCCCTCCTCCACCCGTCCTCGTCGTCGTAGATCGTCGCCGCTCCCCCGCCGTAAATCGCTGCCGTCGAGACGCACAGAGCATTAATCCATTAGCAAGAAGAAGAAAAGAAAAAAAAGAAAAAATGTTTGACCAGCTACAAATAAATGAACGATTTAATTTTAAAAAATAGTCAAAAGTTGTCCCTATTTTTCCACTTTCACGAGACATCAACGCCTTTTTGGAGGATGCTGAATTTGCAATAAACCTAATGTGCGAAGTCTTTTTGTATTTTAATTTCGAACAAAATTTTAAAATAGACCATTTTTAAAACTTAATTAGCAAAATAGGCTGAAAAAATATTTAATTACCAAAAATCGTTGTAAGCTGAGACGGTAGTTATAAATCGTTGTTATAAATGAGGATACAGTCATGTTTTTATAAATCGTTGTTAATTATATTTGATAATAGTTATACCTAATGATATGTTATTTCTAGATGCTATCGTGGTAGTTCTAGTAGCCCTCGAGTTAGTTCTAGCTTCTATTACCCTAGTTCTAGCTTGTATACAGCCAGTTTTAGCCCACACATTGCTAGTTCTAAACCAAGCCCGTGTTTTTTACAAGCAAACTTGTTAATTCTAGCTTCTACGTTAGTTCTAGCTTCTATTACCCTAGTTCTAGTTTGTATACAGCTAGTTTTAGCCCACACATTGCTAGTTCTAAACCAAGCCCGCGTTTTTTACAAGCAAACTTGTTAATTCTAGTTCTAGCTTCTATTACCCTAGTTCTAGCTTGTATACAGTCAGTTCTAGCCCACACCTTGCTAGTTCTAAACCTAACAAGGGTTTTTTACATGCACACTTGTTAATTCTTGCTTCTACGTTAGTTCTAGCTTCTATTACCCTAGTTTTATCTTGTATACAGTCAGTTCTAGCCCACACATTACTAGTTCTAAACCCAACAATGGTTTTTTACATGCACACTTGTTAATTCTTACTTCTACGTTAGTTCTAGCTTCTATTACTCTAGTTCTAGCTTTTATACAGCCAGTTCTAGCCCACACCTTGCTAATTCTAAACCCAACAAGGGTTCTTTACATGCACACTTGTTAATTCTTGCTTCTACGTTAGTTCTAACTTCTATTACCCTAGTTCTAGCTTGTATACAGTCAGTTCTAGCCCACACCTTGCTAGTTCTAAACCCAACAAGGATTTTTTACATGCACACTTGTTAATTCTTGCTTCTACGTTAGTTCTAGCTTCTATTACCCTAGTTCTAGGTTATATACAGCCAGTTCTAACCCACACCTTTCTAGTTCTAAACCCAATAATGGTTCTTTACATGCACACTTGTTAATTCTTACTTCTATGTTAGTTCTAGTTTTTATTACCCTAGTTCTAGCTTGTATACAGCCAGTTCTAGCCCATACATTGCTAGTTCTAAACCCAACAAGGGTATTTTACATGCACACTTGTTAATTCTAGCTTCTACGTTAGTTCTAGTTTCTATTACCCTAGTTCTAGCTTGTATACAGCCAGTTCTAGCCCACACCATGCTAGTTCTAAACCCAACAAGTATTTTTTTACATGCACACTTGTTAATTTTTGCTTCTATATTAGTTCTAGTTTCTATTACCCTAGTTATAGCTTGTATATATCCAGTTCTAGCTCACACCTTGCTAGTTCTAAACCCAACAAGGGTTTTTTACATGCACACTTGTTAATTCTTTCTTCGTTAGTTCTAGCTTAGTTCTAGCCCACACCTTGCTAGTTCTAAACCAAGCTCGTGTTTTTTACATGCACACTTGTTAATTCTTACTTCTACCTTAGTTCTAGCTTTTATTACCCTAGTTATAGCTTGTTTACAGTCAGTTCTAGAACACGGGCTGGGTTTAGAACTAGAATTAATAAGTGTGCATGTAAAAAACCATTGTTGGGTTTAGAACTAGCAAGGTGTGGGCTAGAACTGGAAGTGTGCATGTAAAAAACCATTGTTGGGTTTAGAACTAGCAAGGTGTGGGCTAGAACTGGCTGTATACAAGCTAGAACTAGGATAATAGAAGCTAGAACTAACGTAGAAGCAAGAATTAACAAATGTGCATGTAAAGAACCCTTATTGGGTTTAGAACTAGCAAGGTGTGGGCTAGAACTGGCTGTATACAAGCTAGAACTAGAGTAATAGAAGCTAGAACTAACGTAGAAGCAAGAATTAACAAGTGTGCTTGTAAAAAATCCTTGTTGGGTTTAGAACTAGCAAGGTGTGGGCTAGAACTGACTGTATACAAGCTAGAACTAGGGTAATAGAAGCTAGAACTAACATAAAAGCTAGAATTAACAAGTGTGCATGTAAAAAATTCTTGTTGGGTTTAGAACTAGCAAGGTATGGACTAGAACTGGCTGTATACAAGCTAGAACTAGGGTAATAGAAGCTAGAACTAACGTAGAAGCAAGAAAGAATTAACAAGTGTGCATGTAAAGAACCCTTGTTGGGTTTAGAACTAGCAATGTGTGGGCTAGAACTGACTGTATACAAGCTAGAACTAGGGTAATAGAAGCTAGAACTAACGTAGAAGTAAGAATTAACAAGTGTGCATGTAAAAAACCCTTGTTGGGTTTAGAACTAGCAAGGTGTGGGTTAGAACTGGCTGTATACAAGGTAGAACTAGGGTAATAGAAGCTAGAACTAACGTAGAAGCAAGAATTAACAAGTGTGCATGTAAAAAACCCTTGTTGGGTTTAGAACTAGCAATGTGTGGGCTAGAACTGGCTGTATACAAGCTAGAACTAGGGTAATAGAATTTAGAACTAACGTAGAAGCAAGAATTAACAAGTGTGCATGTAAAAAACCCTTGTTGGGTTTAGAACTAACAAGGTGTGGGCTAGAACTGGCTGTATACAAGCTAGAACTAGGGTAATAGAAGCTAGAACTAACGTAAAAGCTAGAATTAACAAGTGTGCATGTAAAATATCATTGTTGGGTTTAGAACTAGTAAGGTGTGTGCTAGAACTGGCTGTATACAAGCTAGAATTAGGGTAATAGAAGCTAGAACTAACGTAGAAGTAAGAATTAACAAGTGTGCATGTAAAGAACCCTTGTTGGGTTTAGAACTAGCAAGGTGTGGGCTAGAACTGGCTGTATACAAGCTAGAACTAGGGTAATAGAAGCTAGAACTAGCGTAGAAGCAAGAATTAACAAGTGTGCATGTAAAAAACCCTTGTTGGGTTTAGAACTAGCAAGGTGTAGGCTAGAACTGGCTGTATACAAGCTAGAACTAGGGTAATAGAAGCTAGAACTAACGTAGAAGCTAGAATTAACAAGTGTGCATGTAAAGAACCATTGTTGGGTTTAGAACTAGTAAGGTGTGGGTTAGAACTGGCTGTATACAAGCTAGAACTAGGGTAATAGAAGATAGAACTAACGTAGAATCAAGAATTAACAAGTGTGCATGTAAAAAATCCTTGTTGGGTTTAGAACTAGCAAGGTGTGGGCTAGAACTGGGCTAGAACTAACGAAGAAAGAATTAACAAGTGTGCATGTAAAAAACCCTTGTTGGGTTTAGAACTAGCAAGGTGTGAGATAGAACTAGGGTAATAGAAGCTAGAACTAACGAAGAAGCAAGAATTAACAAGTGTGCATGTAAAAAACCCTTGTTGGGTTTAGAACTAGCAATGTGTGGGCTAGAACTGGCTGTATACAAGCTAGAACTAGGGTAATAGAAGCTAGAACTAACGTAAAAGCTAGAATTAACAAGTTTGCTTGTAAAAAACGCGGGCTTGGTTTAGAACTAGCAATGTGTGGGTTAGAACTGACTGTATACAAGCTAGAACTAGGATAATAGAAGCTAGAACTAACTCGAGGGCTACTAGAACTACCACGATAGCATCTTGAAATAACATATCATTAGGTATAACTATTATCAAATATAATTAACAAC